GCCTCCAGGTTCATCTGTCCCCCTCTTGCAATGCTGTTATTGCTAGTATCACTCAACCCCCTGTGAATAGTAAATAGCCATCAGTGTGCTAATGATCCATTGTTATGCTGATGGTCCTTCTTGAGCATGTGATCAGCTGGTTTTGGTTGTCAGCAGCAAAACTGGTTGATCCACTCTGAGAAGGTGCTATTTAAGAGACTGAGCTGAATACAGCACCTCAGACTGAGGAAGTCTCTTGGATGAGAGACGAAACATTTCTATTTTTTTTTGCTTTTTTTTTTTTTTTTTTTGAATGTCCAGAGGACCAGATTGAACTTTTTTGGATTTTTCTACCTGGATTATTGAGCATGCATCAGGAAATTGTAAATATATTACAGATTTCAATAACTAAAGTAAACAAAGTCGACTAACATTTAAAGCAGGATAAAAGTATCCAGTACAACCCTTTTAAATCAATAAATGAACAAAAGCAATTCAATTAGCTTTAAATCAAATTTATACAGAATCAAAGCAAAGGTTGTGATAAGCCTTCTGATTGTCTTCAGAAGCTTACGCCAACACTAACAAACAACTTCATCTGCACAAAGTACCGGTAACTGTTAGCCAAAGCCAAACATTTCAAGTCCAAAGACACCCATACAAGATGGCTAACTGCTCTAAATAACAGCTGCCCTGACTGGCAGGAGAACTGGGTTTGTCTCTTCTGTGGTTGGGGAACAGGAGATGAAGAAGCCAACCAGGATTCAGATGGATGTCCCTTGGTGAGGAGTCAGGAGAGGCCAGCCAATCCTAGATGTGCCACAGTATAGCTGGGTCATGAATCAACTGCAATTATATTGTCACTCAAACATATGGCCTCAGGCCATAAGACACACACACACACACACACAAGCACGCACGCACGCACACACACACACTTATGTACATGATCACTAGCTTTTCATAGCAGTAGATGACTAGCATTATATATAAAATAAACTATATAACTATATACTATATATGTATAAAACTATCAAGATGGCCGCGCTCAGAGCAGTTGCAGCTTCACAGGCTCCCGGTACCATCCCAATTTTTAGAAGTTTTGATATTGACTCTGTGCCTGACTCCGCGCGATTTATGCGTGTGAACTATAGCCGAACCGAACTGATGAGAATAGGAGCAGATTTGCCACGAAATATAGCAGAAATCAGCAACAAACTCAAAGCTACGCTCGGCAGAATGCAGATCTTAAAGTCATCTACCTGGAAGCTGCAGCAGAGGCGTTCCAGCGGGCAGAAGAGGAAGCGTTGCTCCCGGCTTAAGAGGAGAGGATGCCGGGCGGGGGTTATGGTGAGGCTACGAGCTAACGCTAAAGCCGGTAAACTCCCCATGCCGTCTCTCTTTTTGTCGAATGTCCGCTCGTTGGACAACAAGATGGATTTACTTTGTCTGAGAGCGGGCGCCTCAGAAGAAATGAAGAAGTGTGCGGTGCTTTGCCTCACAGAAACGTGGATTACAAGCGAAACGCCAGACACAGTCTTCCAGCTGGATGACAGACTTTTTTTTTGAGCGGACCGCTGCAGCGAGCTAACGGGGAAATCACGGGGAGGCGGAGTGTGCATTTACGTGAGTAAAAGTTGGTCCACGAACTGTACTGTTGTAAATAGCTCATGCTCGAAGGCTTTGGAGCAAATAACAGTGAAATGTCGGCCACATTATCTACCCCGAGAGTTCACTGTGACTTTCATCTCTGTCGTCTACATTCCTCCGGACGCTAATGCTAATGAATCACTGCAGGAGCTTCATGATATCATCAGTTCGCTGCAGAACAAACACCCCGAGGCTCTTTACGTGGTAGCCGGAGACTTTAACCACGTGAATCTAAAGGACTGTCTCCCAAGCTTTAATCAGCATGTGACGATTCCGACACGTGGAGACCGCACGCTGGACCGTTTTTACACGAACGTAAAAGATGCATACAAAGCTGAACCCCGCCACCACCTAGGACTGTCAGACCACATCTCAATCTTCCTGGCTCCTGCTTACATGCCCCCGCTGAGACACTCCAGACCGGTACAAAAGGAAGTTAAATGCTGGATCCAGGACAGTGGCCCCATACTGAGAGATTGTTTTGAACGAACAGACTGGCAGGTTTTCAGAGAAGCTGCTGAAAATGGAGGTTCGCTTGATCTTGACCAATACACATCCTCAGTTCTGGGTTACATTAGTACATGTACTGACACCGTCTCCACTATCAGAAATGTTAAAAGCTACCCAAACAGAAAACCTTGGCTGAATGCAGAGGTGCGTACCCTGCTGGAAGCCAGGAACACTGCCTTCAGGTCTGGAAACTCAGAGGAGCTGAGTAGGACAAGAAAAGAGCTGGTTGCTGGTATTAAGAGGGCCAAGGCCACATATGCACAGAGGATCGAGGGTCAATTCATCTCACAAGACCCTCGGAGCATGTGGAGGGGCATTAAGTGCATAACAGATTATAAAGGAAGGAGTGAACAATGCCCCAAAGACCCATCTCTGCCTGATGCCCTCAACAAGTTCTATGCACGCTTTGAAGACCCGAACAGACCACCCAGCACCAGACTCACCTCACCACCGGATGAAGAGCATCTCAGCGTGACCTCAGCAGAAGTAAGGAGTACCTTCAGGAGGATTAATCCGCACAAAGCAACTGGCCCAGACAACATCCCTAGAAAAGTGTTGAAGGAATGTGCTGATCAGCTCTGTGAGGTGCTGGCAGACATCTTTAACACCTCACTTACCCTAGAGACAGTTCCCACCTGCCTGAAGACTGCCACCATCATCCCAGTCCCAAAAAGCTCTACAGTGACTGGTCTGAATGACTATCGGCCAGTGGCCCTCACCCCGATAGTCGCTAAATGCTTTGAAAAACTGGTCATGACTCACATCAAAACAACCATCAACATCAACGAGGACCCTCATCAGTTTGCATACCGTGAGAACCGATCAACAGAGGATGCAATCTCCTCTGTGGTCCACACTGCGCTCAACCACTTGGAGCAGAAAAACTCTTACGTCCGTTTGCTCTTTGTGGACTTCACATCCGCCTTCAACACCATGATCCCCCAAACCCTGATGGACAAACTATCCACACTAGGACTAAGCCCCTCCATTTGCAACTGGGTACTAGACTTTTTAACAAACAGACCACAGTTAGTGAGGATCCACAACCTCTCCTCCTCCACCATAACCCTCAGCACTGGCTCTCCTCAGGGATGTGTGTTGAGCCCCCTCCTGTTTACTCTGCTCACATATGATTGTGCAGCTACCCATCCAGGCTGTCACATTGTAAAGTTTGCAGATGATACAGCGGTGGTGGGATGCATCAGAAACAATGATGGGTCCAGCTACGGGCAAGAGGTGGAACACCTGGAGAGCTGGTGCAAAGAGAATAACCTTCACATCAATGTGAAGAAGACAAAGGAGATGATTGTGGACTTCAGAAGGAACAAAAACATCTACACCCCCCTGAACATAAGAGGATCTGCGGTGGAAGTGGTCTCCAGCTACAAGTACTTGGGTGTACACATGAATGACAACCTCAGCTGGAGCAACAACACCACCAGCCTGATCAAGAAAGCTCATCAGAGACTCTACTTCCTCAGACGGCTGAGGCGAGCTGGTCTGGGAAGCTCAGTCCTCACCTCCTTCTACAGGTGTGCAGTGGAGAGCATCCTGTGCTCCAGCATCAACGTGTGGCATGGAGGCTGCACAGCTGCAGAAAGAAAAGCTTTGCAGAGAGGGGTGAAGGCTGCACAGAAATCTGTTGGAATCAGTCTCCCCACCATCACAGACATCTACACCTCAAGATGCAGGAAGAGGGCCACCTGCATCATGAAGGACCCCACTCACCCAGCACACACACTTTTTGCCCCACTCCCCTCAGGAAGGAGGTTAAGGAGCATTAAGTGTAGAACCACTAGACTGAGGAACAGCTTCTACCCTGAGGCTGTTAGACTCATGAATCTCTAACTAGAATAATCATTGTGAAAAACCATATCATGTTGCTGCTGATCTGTTTCAGTGTTGATGTGTTCATGTGTGCACATCTGCTCACAGACTCATGTTCATGTTTGTGCTGATGTTCAATGTTTTATGTTATGAGTGCTTAGTGTATATTTAGTTGATGTTTTTCTTTGTTCATATCTTTGACGTTATCACTGTTTTTCTTATACATTTTATTGTTGGATGTAACTGGGACCTTGTGTACATAATTTCGCTCCACCACATGTACCACATGAGGTGCGAATGACAATAAAGAAACTCTGACTCTGACTCTATCAGGAACCCCACAGGAAAACAGCTGGATATTTAAAGCCCAGCTGTTGTAATGAGCCATGAAGCCACATGAGGGCGCCAACTTCACTAATCACAGTGTGACTGTTCCACTTGACTGAAGGTTTTTTTTTTTCACTTGACTGAAGGTTTGTGACTCCCATTTTCAGGAACATTACATCATCAGTCGTCGTCGTTCCCCCCCCCCCCCCCCACACACACACACACACACACAGAGCATGTCAGGCACCACAGGTTAGGGAGGGGAGGACAGATTGAGATGGCCGTTTGTTGTTTGCATCAAAAGCAAGCTTAAAGTTATGTGCGTTTGGAATTGGGAGGTGGTGGGTGGGGTGGGGGGGTGGGACAGAGATCTCTCGGCTGCAGGATTCCATCACTCTTGGCAACCGTTGTTGAGTTTCCACGGAAACGCTCTGCAATGTTCTCTGCTTCTCCTTTGTCCTCCTCCATAACTCTGCTTTCTCCCTCACACTCTCTCACTCAGTTCTATCTTTATTGCTGTTCAGCCTCCCCCTTGTGTTGCCACGGCGATGCTCTGAGTCCGCCGCAGTGCTGGAGCGCAGAGTTGAGCTGTGGAGCTTGTTTATAAGAAGTCACAAGCTGACCATCTTTCGTGTTTTGCTGCCTTTGATTTTCCGCTTTCACATTCTTCCAACCTTTCACCTGTCCTCCCTCTCCGGACTGTTCATTTGGATTGGTCGAACCTGTTGGGTGACATCACAGGAAGTTGGATGAAGTTGGAGGAACTCAAGCACTCTCTGCTGTGATCAGTGTAGATGTTTTCACAACTCGGTCGCACTGAGAGACGCTGAGGAGACTCACAGAGACCCGCTCCTGCTCTGTGAACACCAACAAAAACTCTACAGAGGATGAACGAGGAGGCTGAGGAGGCACAGGTGCCTGAGGGGGTGTCAGGAGATGAGGAGCAACAACAGGAGGACACACTTTCTGTAGAGTTGATGAAGAAAGACAAGGATCAAGACCAACTGGAAGTAGAGCTGGAGGAGGGAGTGCAAGAGGAAGAGCAGGTGCAGCAAGGTGAAGAACAGCTAAAGGAGGCACAGGAGGGAGAAGAACAGCAGCAAGTGGATGAAGAAATGGAGGATCAGGGTGAGGAGATGTCACACAGAGATGAAGAACAGACTGACAAGGAGCAGGTGCAGGCAGAGCAGGGAAAACAACTGGAGGAGGTAGATGAGCTGCAGCAAACTGAGGAGGAAGAGGAGGAGGTGCAGGGTGAGGAGATGTCACACACAGAGGATCAACAGACTGACAAGGAGCAACCAAGCGAGGAAGAACAACTGGAGGAGGAGACGAAGCAGGAGGAGGAGATGCTACAGACTGACAAACAGCAGTCTGAAGAGCAGCAGCTGCAGAAAGAGGAGGTGCAGGACTTTGTTGACACTCTGGAGCAGAACCACAACAACCAGGTCCTGATCCGACTGAGAGGCATGTGAGTAAACACAGTGAGCTGAGCCGAGCAGTCCGGCTGCTGCCGATGATGCAAACCATGAGTGATTAGTGATGATGCTGAAGACGATCAGTGAGCTGCTGAGTGGCCGCCGGGACGCCATCAAGTGTAGTCGCTCGGTTGCCGTGGTAATGGTGATGGAACACAGCGAGAACAGAGGGAGGACGAATTACAGAAAATCAGTGTGGAGGGGTGTGTGACAAGAGAGAGGGAGTGACTGCATGTGTGAAGGTGTGTGTGTATCATGTGAGGTCTGTGTAATAATATTTTCACAGTTATACATTCTTAAACACACCAGGGGCAGATACATCTGCCTGCATGGGTTTGGAGCAGCCATTGTTAGAGGAGGAAAAATGCCTTTTTGTTCTCCAGTGTTGCCATGGTAACGGTGAAGCGTTGCGATGCAGCAAACTCTATAAAGACTGACAGATCAGCAGCAAGACAGAAAGAAAGATGTGCAAATGAAGGCAGGGTGCAGATAAAACCTTTGATTTGTTGATGCTTCAACCTGATAATTCTTAACAAAACAGTGGATTTTCTTTTAGTACAAAAGAAAAAAGAGGAAAACGAGAAAAAGTTATGCATTTTTGGAGGGAAGTACCATACTTGCCGCCGTACACGCCGCACTGCCATATAGGTTGCATCAGTCCAAATATGTCGAATAAAGTGGGAAAAATCATAAATATGTGGCTGCGCTCTATAAGTCGCATCTATTACGTGTCACCGCTGACGCGTTGCGTTTGTTACGCGTCACCGCTGACAACCCGGAAATGTGGGCCGGTGTTGTGCCAAAATTCAATTGCTGCCAAATGGTGGCCGCGGGAGCGTGCACGGGAGGACTTCAACAAGAATTTAACAATATTAACACTTAAAAACAATTGTTTGTTTGCTCAAAATTATAGCAAAGGTGTGTCTCAGTTAAATTTTTCCTTAATGAACGCACTTTGACGGTCAAATCAACTGCATTTCAAAAGCCGATTCGCAACTGCGGGAGCATGCAGATCGAGGACTTGCTGTGCATTTTTTCGAAATTTACCAAGATAACCACCTAAAAACAATTATTTATTTGCTTGCCATTATAGTAAAGGTGTGCCTCAGTTGAACTTTTCCTTAATAAATGCACTTTAATGGGCAAATCAGCTGCATTTCACCTGGGCAGCTCAGCGAAATGCAGCTGATTTGACATTTGCTCCAGGAGATCCGGAGCGAGACGAAAGTGGCTTGTATGGCAAGCCAAATGTTTCATTAATAGCCACTTTTACCTATTAATGAGACACTTGGCTTGCCATATTACTCGAGCACCCTCTAGCAGCTGAAAATGGTAGCGTTCAATATTTTCCATGTCAGAATGAATGAAATCATGAGCTCTCAGCCAAAAATTGGATTATAAATATGGAGGAAAAAAACATAAATAAGTCACTTTGCAGTATAAAAAAAGTGTTATATGTTGTCAATATTGTATGTTCCCATACAAAGACGTAATTGGCTCTCTGCATTTAACCCATCGCACCTGGGATACAACCAGTTGGAGCAATGGGCAGCTATGTAAGCGCCTGGGGAGCATTTCAGGATTAGGTGTCTTGCTCAGAGACACCACGGCATGTAGGAATGGCTGGGGATTGAACCTAGGACTTTCGGGTCCCGAGTTGGCTGCCCTGCCTCTACCCCATCTCTGCCCCACAAGTTGCAGGACATGCTAATTTACGCAAAAAGGTGCAACTTATACAGCGCAAAATTTGGTGTATATTTTACAGATCCTCCATAACATTTAAACCACCTGCCAAATATAGTGTTATATATTATATACCTTATGTTAGAGCACAAGAATTTGATGTGCTCTGATGCAACAAAAGAATGCTAAAAAAATAGGTTTTACGAACTGAGATAGGAAATGGAGTTGCCTTTTTTGGATTCCTTGGTCAGTTCAAGTACAATTTCTTTAATTTGCTGGAATCCACTGGATCCCAAGGGAGGATGTTCTTGGTTTTACAGAGTGATATTTCAAAAGAAGTACCTCTTTGGTCAGCAATAATATAGGTTTTTGGTTAATACAGTTATGAAAACTTTCTGAGGATTATAAGGCCTGTGACTCCATCTATAAGCGTTATAAGAACCAACATGTTTTCTTTTGCATGTAGAAACACGGGAACATTGATTGTTCAGTACTTAGCCGCAAGTCTACGGTGGATAGCACTTATACATGTGACATTAATCAACAACAGCAACAATAGAGCACTCTGTACAAGGAACTGTGTCATGGGTCTTTTATTTACTTTTTTAAAATTTGAGTTTGAAAAAGTGCTCTAAACATTCAGAAGGAGTTACAGGAGTTGGACTCATATGATAGATCAGTTTACTTTGTGCTATAATTATTCAAAAAGAGCATGTCATATCAAAAACAGCATGTCATATCAAAAACAGCATGGGTTAAGTAGGTTCTACTTCAGCAATGCTAATGCAACTTTATGTGTTAACGCTGGAGCAGCATTCAGTTTGCAAAAGCAATCAACGTATGTTTGTGATATGAACCAATCACATCTCCAATGTCACTCAGAAGTTCCTATTGAGATAAGACAGAGCTTGTTAAAATTCACAGGTAACATAGTGTAAAAAACTAGCAAGAAGCTTTGTAGCAGTTTTAAAAAAAAGGTGAACAATGTTAAAAAGTTACAAAGATTAATATCTGCTCCCCTGCAATCCAAAATTACCTAATTAAGTGCAATTTGACTGCAGGAAGGTCTTCTTTTTCTGTCTTCCTTTTTTTCATAGCAAAAACATGGGTCTAAGCAGAGTTTCAAAAAAGTTTTAACCTCCAAAATGCTTTTAGTAGAAAGGAACTGTAGAAATATCCCAGAACATTAGATATGGAACCAGGTTGTGGTCAAGTTTTACTTTTTTATTTTTTTTTACTTATGGTATTTAAATCTTCTTAAATTTCCACGAAGTAGACTGATCTTGTTGCAGTGGCACAGTTGATAGAGCTGCTGCCTCTCAGTGATAAGGTTGCTGGATCAAATCCTGGCCGGGGACCTTTCTGGGTGGAGTTCACATGTTCTCTTCATACATGTGTGGGTTTGCTCCGGGTACTCCGGTTTCCTCCCACAGACCAAAAACATGCATGTTAGACTGATTGGTAACTAAATTGTCCCTAGGTGAGAGTGAGAGAGTGAATGGTTGTTTGTCTTGTTTGTCTCTATGTGTCCCTGTGATGGACTGGAGACTTGTCCAGTTGTCCCCCGCCTCTTGCACAGTGATAGCTGGACATGGGCACCAGTGACCCCTGTGACTCAAAAAGGAAGAAGGGGGTTAAGATTTTAATAATGGCTGGCTGGACTGATCTTTCATTGTACTCTTTGTCATTCCAATTGTGGGCCGAGTGTTGGTCTTCATAACTTCTACACATTTAGGGAGTTCTAATATGTGTTTGGTCTAAAAAGGTAAACTGAACAGTCATACTGAAGGAGTAAATTATTTAAAAGAAGACGATGACAAAAACTAACATTAATGTTGGGACCAGCTTTGATACCTCACATGATTTCTTTTAATTGTTTACAACTGGCTACTGCAGAAGGATGTTTCTGTTCCAGCTGCAGAAGTTCAAGTGGAAATATTCATATGTATAGCAGACTTCTGTGGTTCAGAGAGTGAAGGTGAACAGCCACCCCTTGTGATGAAAACGTAAGGGGCTTCTTGTCAGAGGGAAGGTCTGAGAATGTAAAAACAAATAGCTTTCATTTTTGTAGTAGACAAACAAGTCAAAAAGTACTAGGTAATTTCTGGATTATTAAGCTTACCTGAATATAAGCCATGACGCCCGCTAAATGTAATTTTTTTTTAAAATTCTACATAAATAGGCCGCACTTGTCTATAAACTCACGCTGTAACATGAGATATTTACACAGAAAGATAAAAAAAACAACTTTTAATTAAATACGTACCGGTAACAGGCACAAATACAGTTAAAAAAAAATTCTGAACAGTGCCTGTAACACGGCTCATATAAATAAACTGTAGTCTACCAGGAAATCATTGATCGCTACCCCGCAAGAGCGATGTGTATTGGGCAGCTATGTGATCGCCTGGGTGTGACAAAGCTAAATGTTTTGGTGGCATGAAGCTCATTAGCCCACCAAAAAAAAATCCATAATTTAGCTGCAGCATTGTATAAGACGTGGTGTTCAAAGCGTGTAGAAAGAGTAGCTGCTTATAGTCCAGAAATTACGGTAAGTTACAATAATAGAGCATTGTGTGCAGATAAATTCCTGTAAACACGCAAAATGTGATTTAACAAAGTCTGACCAGCTGTTTCCGTTTTGCAGTCTTTAGGCAAAACTAGTCTGCAGAAAACAGAAATATCAATGTGAATAACCAGACACACTTTCTCAGGCAAAGTTATTTTTATCATAACCTCCCATACTTGACTAAAAACAAAAATAGTACTTACACTAAAATTATGAAATGCTGACATGCCAAGTGGAAAAACAAAAAGGTCCTCCATTGGTATCTATGGTTAAATTGTGATCCCTACGTATAATCTTGTGATTCTGGAAAGAGACTAGAACCACAAATTGAATCACTTTTGAAAACAATAATTATTGGTTATTAGGTTATTTGTCAAGAACTCTTATCTGAATTTAAATACTCCACTTCTGACTAAAACTACTGGCATATTTAAAGTGCATAACTAAATAAGGTCTGTTATAGGGATCATAGCAAATAAATTTAAGACACAAATAAAATATTTGCTCCACAGATAGAGTTTATGAGAGTGCAGATCTGTTACATATTTAGGATGCCCTGATTTGTTTTTAATGGAAAGGCTTGTTTAGCTGTAGTTTGTTCTGGTACCTGGTCAGCAAACGGGCTACAGATCTGAGAAAATCAAACTCATTTTACCTGCAGAGATCAGTGTATTTATTGAAGACTGATGCCTAAACAATTGTGGAGTTTGTGCCATTTCAGTTTGGCAAGTGAATGGAGGC